GCTTTTTCAACAAGTACAAGTCATAATCGTCGTTTGTGCAAAAAAACAGAAAAAAAAACATTCAATCGCGTGCTAAGGTTGCAAACTGCAACTTGAGACTCTGGCTGTTGCATGCCGCTCAAAAGTTTTTCTTTGCGTGAGTTTTGATGCGATTCCGCTGATTTCCCAGCCAAGGTGTGGAAACTCTTGATCAGATATTCGTGTCTACTTTTGTGGCCTTTCTCTCTCCTGGCCCCGGCACCTTTACCAATTCATAGCTGCTTAGTTTCATTTTCCTTTCTCGCGAATCCTTTGGGTTAACCGGAAAATGAGAGGTAGCTCTGTCTGAATGGCCCGCAATGAAAAGCGAGTGTGGCGCGCAAATGGAATAACTAATTAAATTTTCAACTGCAAATGAACAGGATAGCCAGGAGTATTCCAGGAGGATAGTTAAGCTCCCAGCTTCTCCTAGGTGGCTTCCCAGTCGGTTTTGGCTAACTACCGACCGGCTTAATTAACTTGGCAGATAAAATTTTATGGCAGCCTGGGCTACGTTCATAGCAAAACAATCTATTCGCTGTAATAGCCATTCATGGCCTGAATGGTTGAGTGGCTGAATGGTCGTCGTTGTCCTAATGGTTGTCTATGCAAATATGTTGCAATATCTGCTTCTATGTACCCCCAAAAAAGAACTCCCAGCAATTTTATTATTGCTTCAGGTTCTCAAAAACTTCTCCCACTTCTTTTTCATTTTTTTTTCTGTTTTTTAAATTTTTTGCAACACCTTGCAACACCACGCCGCGCTCGTAAATCAAAAGTGAAATTTTTTACACGCACCCAACTGTCTGTGAAAAATTTTCCATTTACATTCTCGCTCAATGTTTTTGGACCAAAAGCTCGGGTGGTCAGGTCATGTCGGCCAGCCAGCGAATGCCCAACAATTTTGTAATTGTTTTTTTGCGGTTGAAACACGGGAGTTGTAGATCCTTAAAGCTATGAAAATAAAGAGATTCCTCTCTATATTTAAAGCTTACTTTTTGGTACGAAAATCGCCTGGGGAAGAAAAATATCAAAGTCTAATCCGCGGTGAAGAACTATTTATTGTGTAGTGTGTCCAGTGCCTATATCTTTTACTGATTCTCAACGTAATAACACCTAAATCTGCAACGCCAACATTGTATGGAATCCGAGAAGCAAAATGTATTCCAAGTAAAGGGTATCCAAGTCAGGGGTATCCAAGTCAGGGGTATCCAAGTCAGGGGTATCCAAGTCAGGGGTATCCAAGTAGAGGGAGTCTAGGAACGGGGTACCTCAGTGTAGGGAATGGTTGTGCCTGTAGGGGTATCCAAGCTGAGGGTATCCAAATTGGGGGTATCCAAGCTGTGGGTATCCAAATCGGTGGTATCCAAGATTAAGTGCCCAATTTATGGGTAATCCAAGTATCCAAGTTTCCAAAGCATCCAAGTTAGTGGAATCCGAGTTGCTCATAACCAAAAATATTCTTTTAAACATTGTAATCTGACAAAGGGAGGCCCAAGCCAAAAATTGTGATGGGCCTCTACCTTTATAACTCACTCAAGGAATCGTGGCAATCTTCGGCCAAACAGATTCCTTGAGGATAAAACTACGTCCTCCTCTCAATTCTCTGGCGGTTCCTCTGGCAGTTAGTGCAACCGCAATTCCCGCAACATCCGTGGGAGCAACAACAGCTCTGACCATTTCCATCCGGACAAGTGCATTTGATCCTCCCTGCAGCACTGCCATCAGAGGACAATGCTTTGGGTGCCCCCTTGGCACCCCTTAATGAATCACTTGTCTCGTTCGGATACATGGTTAAAAGTGATCTGTTATTTATAAATTAAGCTTAAAATTTGTATTCGAAATTAATATTTTCACTCACGTATCCGATTAACTGAACTTTACACAGACAATTTTGTAGAATCCAAAAAAAAACTTAAAACAAAAATTTGGAAAAACACAAAACTAGCCCATTTGGGTCTGGCTATCTGGAAGAGTGAGGGATGACTGAGGATTTTGTAGTTCACAAGTTCAAAGGTCGTTTGACAGATGTTCAAATTGGGAACAAGGCCTACTTAAAATCACAAAACTGGAACTTCATATAATAATTAATATTAATTTTCACTTTTACCATTCCCTTTGTATGGTTTATTGTCTCGCCCTTAAAACAGCAAAAACATGGGACTGGCAATCTGGTTTCATAATCGATTTATATATATATACTATATATATTTCCCTCAATTTATCACTTGTCACCCCTCCCTGGGATAGTTTTTGCCATGTACCTGCCGGCCACAGTAATTGGCCGAGCATGAGCTTGGGCTTGTTTAATGAGCGCTTAGTAGTTGGCAACATCTAATGTGCATATTACAATGCCAATTAACATATTTTGCCATCGTGTTCAACAGAGCCAATCTGCCAGAGTCAGGTCTTCATGTGGCAGTAGGAGGAGATGGCCAGTTCCGTGGCAATCAGTCGCAGAGTCACTCTGTTGGTGGTCACGTTTAACAGGGAGAGAGAGGCAGTAGTGGGCCTTGCATAATTGCGTCGCCAAGTGCAGGTCCCTTCCTCCAAGGATCGTAAATAACCCCACTCCCATTTAACATATAGATGCGCTCACATGCCTTTTTTTCCCTCTCGTATTTTTCATTCGGTTTTGTCTAGCCGGGCATTATGCAAATGGCACTTTGTTTTAACTGCGTGCACTGCGGTTGGCCCATGGATCTGGCTCTCTGCCTTTGATGACGGCTGATGGCCCACCAGTGATGCTAACGATCTATTAAAAATAAAACTGAAAAATCAACATAAAAAACACGTGAGGAATTCAATTAAAATCCGTTGCTAAAATGAAATATTTTAACTTTGTTTTTGTTTCAATGGAGGAGTGCTAATTTATTTGGTATTTTATTGGTGCATTAGAGTTCTAATTTTAATAGGTGGGTTAGATTAACTAATAGTATCTTTCTTGAAAACTGAAATACGAAATTATTCATGTTAGAATTTTTAAAGATTTTTTTAAGATATAATATTATACTTTTCTTTCATGATTAGATGTTTTAGGTTTTCTCCTTTTAAAAATTTAGTTTATCTTCAAAGAAAATCTTGTGATTTCAACAAGATATATGAAGGAGAACTACCAAATCTAAAATATTTGTATTCCAAAACAAAGTAAAACAACATCTCTAGTGCCCAGAGTCCGGCGGGCTGACATTAGTTCGTCATCATCATCATCATCATGTGCACTTGGAGCCCCCCATCCAAACCCAACCCTGCAACTCCATGTAACTCCACTCAAACTGCAACTGCCTTCAACATTACGCGGACAATTAATATGCCAAGTGTTATGTGTGCGCATACTAACCTCTTTTCAGGGCAGTCCCTTGAGCATCCATCAATTGCCGGTCATCCGAATGGCGCAGGCGCAACGGCGCCGCCTCCGCAACAACCTTACAAGTTGCTTGTAATGATCCCGTGGGATGTGGCTACTTCAGACCATGACCAATATGACTCACGACTGGAATGGACACGTGCGGATGCCACAAGTCGACTGCAAGTCGTTAATCTCCGCTTCACGGAAAGTCCAGTCCTGACAGATTCATGTCTTTGGGGAGGTCATTTTCGCTTTTATGACAATTTTTGCTGTTTTGGTTTCTCTTGGTTTTCTCTGTTTAGCTAAAAGTGTGACTGTGACTAAAATGTAGACTATAATTTTCTTAAAATACTTTTTTCATTAAGGCATTTGTTACAGGAGATGGAAAAATGTTTAAAAAAACAAATAAAAGCTTTAACAAGATAACTTACTGAAAGGTAAAGAAAGACAAAAGTCCAAACATTTTTGAAATAAAATCCTAACATACACAAAATGTGTTCGTTTTAAAAGAACTTAAATATCTTTCATTACATTTACATTTACTTTCTTTAATATCAAACTATATATTATCAGCTAACCAATTCTCATACCAACATCTGTGACTAGCTCAACATGTATGTTAACAGTCTTAAAATATTATTAAACCCTTCCATTTACCCAACATCTGTAATACAAACTAAGCAACACCCTGTATTAGTTCCCCCATTGGTGGGGGGGCCCATGACTCGACCAGATTGGCAAAGCCAACCACGTAAACGGTGTAAATGTAAACAGTGCCACAAATTTATTGTTGTCGCCGGCATTGTAGCTGCTTTCATTGTCAGCTGTTATAGCTGTCGACACACTAACGAAACCAGCCGTCCCACAAAATCGCCGAAAAGTAGCCCCAATAATATAAATCAAAAGAAAGTAAAATTACGATGCGTCGTCGACGAGCGATCAATTCGATGGGAAAGAAGCAAAAAAATTCATTTCAATAAGTATTGAAGCGAGAAAAAAACTTTCGCTACTTCAGTGGCAAAAAAAAACTGTATAGATATGTATATATAGATATATAGAGGCAACGAAGACTCTACTTTTGTGGATGAGTGGCTCTGATTTTGTTTTGTTTTGCTTGGCAGCGAAGCGAGTGAAGTATCATGGTCAAGCGGTGGATAGTGTGGATGCCCTGAGGCGCCCACGCATGCGCAGAATACGAAAATGCAAATTAAAGGGGAGTGCGAGGGTGCACTGAAAGAAAATTATATTAGAGTTTCTAATGTACTTACGATGAGCTTCGATTTAAAGGTGATAAATTATTAACACCTACGTAATTTGACCAAAAATGGTAGGAAAATTATTTCTTTTTATGACTCAGTAATACGACATCCAATATTTCATTTTTTATTAATTATGTGTATTGCCAATTTTGTAATTTGCATTAGAAAAATATGAAGATTGAAGTTATCTTACACTATTTTACACTATCTTTGGCGCCAACAAAAACCCGCGATTATCGGGACTAAAAATATCGCAAACTATCATTTCTTACTGTGTGGATTGGATTGGCGAAGTGGACGTGCCACCGGCCAGAACCACTTTTTTTTTTTTGGGTGAAATGCCGCTTTCAAATGCTGACCAAGCGGCTGGCCGATCAGTTCGCCGAGAGCCACGCGAGTCGGTGGTGTCGCTGTGGAGAAAGCCGGAAAAAGTCTAGAGAAATGAATCGAGGAGCCTGGTTGTGTATGCTGATCTGCCTGGCCATAAGCTGCTGTCTAAGTCAGGCTGCAGTGCAGGATCAAGCAGCAGCAGCAGTCCAGGGTCAATCAGCAGCAGCTGCAGCCCAAGATCAAGCACCAAATCCCCTGCTGAAACAATCCCAGAACACCTTCATCCAATGGGTTCTGTCACTTTTGCCACAACGACCCGGAAACTCGGATTCGGAAAATGCCACTCTGGCCACTTTGAGTAGTAGTTCCATGATGCCGGAGGTGGCATCTACCACCTCAACTACCACCCCAGCGCCATCTTCCAGTACCACCACAACCAGAAGGGCCACCACACCGGCACCACCCACACTGAATCCGCCGAGGAATTGCAGTGACTGTGTCTGTGGAATAGCCAACATCCAGAAGAGGATCGTTGGTGGTCAGGAAACGGAGGTTCATCAGTATCCCTGGGTGGCCATGTTGCTATATGGTGGAAGGTTCTACTGTGCCGCCTCCTTGCTCAACGATCAATTCCTTTTGACGGCCTCGCATTGTGTCTCCGGTTTCCGGAAGGAGAGAATCTCGGTCAGATTGCTCGAACATGACCGCAAGATGTCGCACATGCAAAAGATTGACCGCAAGGTGGCCGAGGTGATCACTCACCCCAAGTACAATGCCAGGAACTATGACAACGATATTGCTATCATCAAATTGGATGAGCCAGTGGAGTTCAATGAGGTACTGCATCCTGTCTGTATGCCAACGCCGGGCAGGAGTTTCAAGGGTGAAAATGGTATAGTTACGGGTTGGGGAGCACTCAAAGTTGGTGGACCCACTTCGGATACTCTTCAGGTAAGCTCATTTGATGGGTCAAACTATAAAACTTAAGAGCCGTAAACATTTAGGAATTTCTCCAAAAATCGATAAAGGTTCCGATCTTAATCAGTACCTTCTCGCAATATTATTTCTCTTCCAGGAGGTTCAAGTACCCATCTTATCCCAAGATGAGTGCCGGAAGAGTCGTTATGGAAATAAGATCACGGATAACATGTTGTGCGGAGGATACGATGAGGGTGGCAAGGACTCGTGCCAGGGTGACAGCGGAGGTCCTTTGCATATCGTGGCAAGTGGAACGCGAGAGCATCAAATAGCCGGTGTGGTTTCTTGGGGCGAGGGCTGTGCCAAGGCCGGTTATCCTGGTGTCTATGCCAGAGTGAATCGCTATGGAACCTGGATCAAGAACCTCACCAAACAGGCTTGCCTCTGCCAGCAGGAGACCAAGAAGATCAAGTAGCGACCAACTATCTGTATCTTTTAATAGTTAAATACTCTTGCTTGGGTGGTAAGGAATCATGGAGGAGAGTAAGTGCAAGTTTTAGGATGCTAAATTGATATTATATCAGGATTTTATATCTCCCATTACAATGTGATACTTCTCAAGGTGTTGGTATAAGAAAACACAATTTAATTTGGCATTTTGAAATATAAATTTGCTCTTATATCTCCTCAGTTTAGTGTCAAGCAATAGTACCGATTGAAAGACAAGTTTTCATTACAAAAAGCTTGTTATTTTCCGAATCACTAATCCAATATCCCAAGAAACAAACTATTTTCGCAGAAAATAAATTTGCAATTTCTAGGGATATATGTTTCAAGATATTTATATAATATCAGATAAACCCTGCAAGAGTATAACCAACTTCGGCCTAGTCGAAGATCCTATTCTCAAGCTGTTTTATATTTATTGATTAAAAGAAAAGTTTCCACAAAGTGCGCTAACCTTTCTCGGCAGCCGGTTTCCTCGAGGGGATTCTGGTCTAGCCAGTTCTTTGGTCTTAGCTGGGAGTTCTGGTTCTCAACGGTCTTCTTGCTGGATGTGGCCAGGATGCATTTGGTTAGTTGCCAATTGCCACTTGGCCAGGTTAGTTCACCATGTGTAATTTTCATCTTCTGCTGATTGCTGCCATAGCACTGGGTGATTTGGCCTTAGCCACACCCTCTTTGCGTTCCGCCTCTGAGCCCGAGAAGATCTTGGAAAATCTAGCTCAACTAAGGCAGAGTAGTTTCCTAGATTGGATTCAATCGATCCTGGGCCCCGAGGTTCCTGCCGAGTGGAGTTCTCCGGCCAAAAGGGAGTGTGGCGATTGCAGCTGCGGTAATATCAATACCCGTCATCGCATCGTCGGTGGCCAGGAGACGGAGGTCCATGAATACCCCTGGATGATAATGCTCATGTGGTTCGGTAGCTTCTACTGTGGTGCCACCTTGGTCAACGATCAATACGCCTTGACCGCCGCTCATTGCGTCAATGGTTTCTATCATCGCTTGATCACCGTTCGCTTGCTGGAGCACAATCGTCAGGATAGCAATGTGAAGATTGTGGATCGCCGCGTGGCCAGAGTGCTCATCCATCCCAAATACAGTACCAGAAACTTCGATAGTGACATTGCTTTGATTCGTTTCAATGAACCGGTACGTCTTGGTGTGGATATGCACCCAGTTTGCATGCCCACTCCCAGCGAGAGTTATGCTGGCCAAACAGCGGTGGTCACCGGTTGGGGAGCCTTGAGTGAGGGAGGCCCAGTTTCAGATACCCTCCAAGAAGTGGAAGTGCCCATTCTCAGCCAGGAAGAGTGTCGAAATAGCAACTACGGCGAGGACAAGATCACCGACAACATGATCTGTGCTGGATATGTGGAGCAGGGTGGCAAGGACTCCTGCCAGGGTGACAGTGGTGGACCCATGCATGTTTTGGGTTCTGGAGAGGCCTATCAGCTGGCTGGCATCGTGTCCTGGGGTGAAGGTTGCGCCAAACCCAATGCTCCGGGTGTTTATACTAGAGTGAGTAACTTCAACGATTGGATTGCGGAGAACACCAAGGATGCCTGCTCCTGTGCTCAGCCGGAGGCTCCTGCTGAACCAGCTTCTACTCCGAACACCACCGAGCAGGGTGAACAGGAGAACACCACTGCCGCTGAATCAGATCCCGAGGTTGAGGAGGCCAACAAATTGGTTTAAGTTGGTTGATTTCGTCGTCCAATTCATTGCTAATAAAGGCTATTTGGCCATTACAAAACTTTAACTTATGTTTTCTTGATTTAAAATTAATAAGCTGTGGGAAAATCGTTTACTCTGCTCTCCTCAAAATAAAATTCCAAATTATATGAAAATTATAAAAAAATTCTATCCCTATAGGAGGTAATACTTAGACCATTCCTAAAAATGGTTATCGTATTTGAAAGGTGTAATTAGGATAAATCAGTTGCTTGTTTTTAGAAAAAATTATTTAAATTTAACCTGTTAAGGCTTGACATTTAAAGAAAATTTTATAACTAAAAAGTGTAAGTTATTAAGACTTATTTAAAAGTCCATAAAAAATCTTGATCTATACGAGTAAAAAGCCACTTATTTTCTACATTTCTTATAAATTTGCTTACCCATATTTTGATCAGTCTTATAAGAAGTGTAAGCAAAGCCATTCCTACCCAAATGCGGAAGTTAAAAGAGAATAAAGGCCAACCAAAGTCTAAGTTTCCTTTCCTCACAGCTCTCTTCTCTTTTGGTATAGGGTAATAATTGATCTGGCCTCAGCGATCCCCCACTTACATGCCGATTTCTCTGAGGTGTTTTACTGCATATCGCCAGTTTATTGTTCCAGTTTTTGTTTTGTTTTTTTCTGTTGGCTTGTTAGCTCCTCCACTCACTCTCTTGCCTCGATTTCCGCCTGTAATCTGCTTGTTTTCAAGTCCACCCTCGGGGCACTTTGCAATTTTTGCCACACGAAATTGCCACTAAATCAAAAAAAAATGCCCATGCAAACAGCAACAACCGCAGACACCTACACTCGATTTCAGAGGGGCTTGGGTGTGGGGGACTTTGGGGGCTTATGAGTCCGCTCTGTGCGTGCCTGTCCCATTGGGATTGGACCCAACCCAGAACATTGATAAATAACTAAATAATAGAATAAGCAGCTGGCAAGAGGTGCTAAAACTTTAAAGGCGGCTGAAAGTGAAAAAAAGAGATGAGGTTTGGTGGAAGATCCTAAGTCGACGTGATAATACCCTTTTAAACTGAAGGATTTTTAAAATATAAACAGTTTTATATTTGAATATTAGATATCAAAAGTTTTTATATTAAAAATTAAAGTTGTGAACTTCAATATTTGAAAAAATATTATACAAAGGCTTATATTTATTCATTTAAATATAAAATAACTTTTAAAATATAAAAGATTATTTTAAAAATTACATCATTTCTTTAAAATTATAATTTAAAATAAATATAAAAAACTGCAAGATTTCATTAAATTCATATATTTTAACTGAAAAATAATATTGAAATTTTTTATACTAAGATTTCCCAAGCTTAACATAATCTTATACAAAGATTTATACTTCCAACACGAAACATTTTCCAACTTCATAATATTTCTGAAAACACTTCAATCATAGTACTCTCTCCGAAAGTGTATTAAAAAGGCACCAAAAATTATATTCATCCTCGAGCGCAGTTTAAATTTGTGCAGCCAAATTGGCTTTTGTGGTAAAAATATTTATTTTTCTCGTTGCATTCATCTCGTCTCATTCCCCCGATTCCTTTTTGGCCAGGCGCAAATTTGCTGCAATTGGGCAGAGTTCTGCTTTACTTTATTTTATTTTTGTTTTTGCACTTTTGTTATTGGCCAGCCGCAGGTTAGAAAAGTTTATTGGGGCGTAAAATTGTTTGATTGAATATTAGCGAGCGGTGCCGCGTTTGAGCTTGCCATGGCCTTTACCCAGGGAAAGAAAAGGAAAACCCAGACAGTAATGCCTTAAAAAAACGTAATATTTTCTGAATTTCGAGGCATACAACAGAGGAGCTCAGACATTAATCAGAAAACCGAAAGTTAGCAGAAATAGAGATTGATTATCAGGCGATTCCACTCATATGAAGGGCATTGACCACCACATTTGTTAGCTTCAAAACGCAAAATAGTGAGGACACCAGCACTTTTTCGGTCAAAACCAGTATAAAATCGGCAATATTTGCTGCAGGCTTTTGGCAGGCTTTCAAAGTTAAGAATGTCGGTAATAAATTTATGTCAAAACTTACCTCGAGAAAGGTTATGGTTATGCTGAGGGTCTTCTGAGCCAGGATCACACTGAGGCCTATGCAGGTGATCAGACCCATAATGGTGATCAGGGTCAAGACCTCCATAAGGCGCACGGCCACCGGCATTTTTCCGATGGAGTCTTCTGGTCTTATCCTCAAGGGCAGAATGGCTTTAGGAGATATGATTTTGTGTTTAATTTTTGAAACCTATTTCGAGAGAAAAGCCGAAAACTAAATTTGCTTAATGATATAAAAGTCGAAGCAAAATATTTGTTTTAACTTTTTAAGATATTTTCTTTTGCATGTCTAAATTAAAATTAATTAAATGATTATTATTTTTCGTTACGATCCCATTTAGATATGTCTTTTATTCGAGCTCTCATAAGCCGCCATACAAATTATAGTTTTTCAATCATTTTCCTCTTTTTTCAAGTCGTACGCGACATTTTCCAATTACGCTATGCAAATGCAATTTGTCTGGACTGCGTGCAATTTAGGTTCTGCCATAAAGCCCTGCCACGCCCCCTTTTTTTGCTGTTAGAGTAGAGCCAATGATGGGCGCTGTTTTGTCTGGTTTGGCATAGATTGCTTTGAATTATGGCACTAAATGGCTAGACATGTTACATAATTCATTTAGCCGGCACGGCACGGGGACAAATTCCATGATATGGGACATACATTTACAGAGAACACTCTCTGGAACAATGAAGTACTGGATTTATTTATTATTTTCAGTAGTGTATATATATTTCAACGATATGGCAAATTCAATTAGCGGCAACTGGGACAAGAAGAAAAAAGTTAATTGATTTCCATGTGCACATTTTAAGCTCAATTGTATTGACTGTCTATCTCTCGCTCGGCGGCATAAGTTGGTTTTTATGAAAATATTTTGCTTGCTGTCTAGCGAATTTTCCTGCTTGACAAGAATCCAAGAATAAATATTTACACACGTTGTCTGGGAAGACAGCAGACAGCCGAATAAGCGAAAAGTTTTGTCGCAAATCCTTGGCCAAGTCAGCGCCTGAGGGTGAACCTTTGGCAAAAGACAAAATTAAAATAAAATAAAGTAAAAATAAAAGATAGCTTCTCGGGATTTATGACTTTCAGTAGATGCATGTCTTACATTTCATAGTGAAATGAGAAGTCAGAAAGCTGGCATTAAAATATAACAATGTATTCTTATTAAATCCATACAGAAGAGAGAATAAAATTGAAGAAAATTCTTTAAAATATCTTCTTGAAAACATAGAAAAGGGAATTCAAAAATGAACCGGAAAGACCACCTGTTAGGCGAATAAAATATATCAAAAACACATTACCCGTGATATCCAGTTCATGCCACCAAAGCCATTCAATGAAAATAAACTGTCGCCAGCTTGCCAGGAAGCTCCATCAAGCTTGAACGCTTCAATAAATCAGTTTTACAATGCAAAAGTTACTGTAAAAAATGCAGAACAACTTTAAACTTTAAAGCTATAGAAAATATATATTTTTAAATATTCCAAACCATTCGTGTTTCGCAGTTACTAGACAGAAACAATTTCTAATTCAGCTAACGAAAATTGCTGCGAAAGCTCATTATGATTCCCGACGAGAACCGTAGAGCAATTTACCCAATGTCCTTCGACTTCGATTCTAGCAGCCGTCCTTTGAATCCAACCAGACCATCCATCGTTTCTGGCCCATTGTAAGTCTTTGTAGCTTTGTCTCTGTTGTTTTTATTCCTTTGATTTCATTATTATTTTTATTGCCTCGGACTTTGGACTTGGGACTTCTTCTTTTTTCTGTGTCCAACTGACTGAATTCGAGGCATCGAGCCAAAGCAAAAGGCGCATTTTAATTTTATTATTTCTGTTTGGTTTCCTCGCCCCTCTCACTCGCAGCCAAAAAAAAATTCCCATAAAAAAGGGTATTCAAGCCAGGGCATTCACTGATTGTGAACTTTTTTCTATAGCTTGTTTCTGTTCTTCTTTTTTACCATCTTTTTTTTGGCACATTTTCAAGGCAGCCATAGACACACGCCCCACTTGCCACATTTTTTATACAATTTCTGGTTTCCTGCCCTCTTTGCATTCTTCGCCTTCTTATTAAGAATTAATAATCTTTTTTTCTGGTTTTTATTTTTGCCATAAGCTAGCTACAAATTTGGCATTTTATATTTTTTTTACGATTTCATTTCGGAAAGCAGAAGACAGGGAGGCACTAGAGGTCTGGCCGCTCATGAATCATGGTTATGCCGGCTATAATTTAGTTTTAATAGCATTTTCGGTGACATTTATGCTGTCAACGCGTCATCCAATTTTATTAATGTCCAAATGAGCCTCGCTATATGTGATACGACTGTATGATATCATTATGCCAAGATTTAATGTCTTTGCCTGTCTTTGCTCCAAATTAAGTTATGGCTCTAGGATTGTAATTGAAGAGGATTGGGCTACTGAGGAGACTAGATCTAGATCTAGGCTTAATTTTAATGGAAAATAGTTTGTAACAATTTGAAATTATGTTTTACAAATGACAAGTCGTTATAAATAAACTAATGTTAGAAAGAAAAGGCGAAGTTAGTATCGTAAAAACGGTTTAAAGGCTTTCTGATAATCATTATTTTACCAGAAAAGCTTTGTTATCCTTTCTTCAACTTACTAGTATTTTGTCCTAAATATTTTATTTTTAAAATAAAGTTTTCATTTTTATTAAGCCAAATTACAGCTCGTACTTATCTCGTCAAGTTCTTTTAACATCAATTAACTATGAATTTCATCTTAAAACTTAAATATTCAACTTTTCCCTGAACTCTTTCATAATTTCTTAAAGCTAAACCAACTTTTAAGCCCGAAATCCCTTTTGTGATCCAAATTGCTCTTTGTTAAGACTTGTTTACACCCACTTAAAGACTTATTTTCCTTCTAGTAACCCGTTTTCCTTTCCTCTCTCATTTGCAATTTCCCAGGTCCGGTGTAAGAACTCCGTTTTAATGAGTCGCCGCCGGGCAAACTGCAGTAACTGCGGCCAGCGCGAACCTAATCATCTCTGGCTCACTTAAGTAATAAAGCAATTTACCGCCTTTCAATATCCCTTAACCATTTTTTATCTTTTTATCCCTCGGACTTGGACCTGGCTACCCATTCCCCATACCATTCCCTATGCCTTCAAAATCATCCCCCTTGGGCTGGTTAACTCCCACACAAATTATTTTCCCGCTGGTTTCCACTTTGTCGTTACTTCTTGTTCATCTCCTTCTTGACTCTGGCATTTTATTGTTGGCCCAAGGAGGCTCCTCCTCGGAGCTTTGGACTTGTCGCCTCACGTCTGCCGCTCTTTATGTCCCTAGAGGAGCAGGAGGAGGGGTCCAAAGCTGGAGTCCAAAAGGATCAGGAGTCGTAGGAACAGCAGATTGGTCAGACGCCTGCGGTGTTACTGGACCAGTTTGATTTTAGTGCCTGGATTGGCAAAGAGGAGGCAAGCTGACTTTGTCCTGCTTCTGGTTCTCGTGTGTAATGATTTTATTACACGATTTTCTATCGAATTTTATTACCTTGGTGCATGACGTTGCGCCAGGATAGCGCCATGTCCTTTATGCCCCTTTAGTCCTTGCGGCCATCCAAATGGAATTTACGCACCCATAAAATTTCGCTCTTCCCCCGCCCCCTTTTGAATTGTGTGGGAATATTTCTTATGGCCAAGTAGCGAAATGCTCTCTATTCTATCTGGGCCATCATAATTCAATATCATAAAACGTTTATCCAATTAATTTCTCTGGCCAATATTTATGATCGGTTCGTGCAGGCTAGTTCTAGGGATATTTACATAGATGTAGTATGCATGTTGGAACTTATAAATTGCTCACATACTATGGCATATTTAGGCGTTTGAGTTGGTTATAAAACTGTTCATTGATCAGGTTGTGGGAATATTGAATGGAATTAAGGTTTTATTGATAGTTATTGAGCGTTGAGAAAAGAAATAAAAGTTGTTCTTATAATTAGTGGACTGGGAAGTGGAAAAAGTCTTAATAATTCAGTAAAATCTTAAGATATTTCTTAGCCCACTTTAACTCATTTTAAGACCACTTTAGTTAAATTACTTTTCCTGACTTTGTAAAGCGAATTTATTTAATTAATTCCGTGTATTATCTGTTAGTAATTACCTCATGTATCTCATCGACTTGGCACTGTTCCATCAACAACAACGAGCTGTCATTCATCCATCGAACTGAGTAGACAATTGCCGGTTTCTGATCTACATTGATCTTGAAAATCTATCCAGCAAATGTATGGAGGCACGCTTCATTGGTTTTTCCATACCTCTCCTCTATCCAACGATTATATAGCCAACTGACCTAATCGAGTTTGATTTCCAATTACGATTATGCTGCTGGCACTTTTGCTAATGAGCCACCCCGTTTTACTCCCCCTACGAAAAGCCAAACCAAAACTACTGACTAAGCTTTTATTTTTCTTTTATTTATTTTTTGTGTTTGTTCGGTAGCTTTAGTTTGTTTTTCCGTTGGGATGGTTTCAGTGTCAATGTCATGTTGGCCCTGATGTTGCATGCAACGTTTCAAATGGCTGCATGCCAAAACTAATGGGCTTCCCCCACGATGACGATGAGTTTGCCAAAGCCAGATACCCAAACGTAGTTAAATTCCGAACGTCGAAGCTGTTTTTCGTATTCATATGTGGGTCGTGTTCACTCAGATTCGAAATTATGGCTTCGTTTTCCATATTTTCATTCCCATTTTTGGATTTGTTAGTGCATTTCATTTATTTATAAAGCGGGCAGGGGAGGAGGTGAGTTCAGGGTTCAAACAAAGCTCTCATTAAATGTTTGTAATGGGTGTGAGAAATATTTTATAATGGTTTATTGTTGAGTGATAAACTAGATGGGTTAGTGCTTCCTTTTCGCATTTGTTTATAGAGCAACATTTGCTCGGCCTTCGAAGTGCACTGAGAGAATTTTTGTTAGAATATTTAAAGAGGGAAAAATTCTAGAACTTCTAGTAACTGCTCAAGAAAAGGTTTTTCTACTTTAAATTCTTCTTTTTCAATAACTTTAAGTCGGAAAATGAAATTCCCTAAAACGTTATATTAGTTTGTTGTTATTTTTTTGACCAATTTGATTACTCTATCATTATCTCTAATCTATTATCTCCTTTAATTTCCCTCAGTGCAACATTTGCCGATTCGCTTAGACAACGGCAATGTCAGTGTTGCCTCAAAATGAAAAACTCATTAAGTGTCATGCATACGTGCGGGAAATGGATTCAGCTTTGGATTTCGAATCACTAGCTAGATATAGCCGACATCTCGGTGTTCCGTGCTCTCTGCACTCTCAGCTTTTGGCTGATATTAACTCTCGATCTCCGCCCTCGTCGGGTGGCCCAATGACGTCAGTTTGAGCGAGCTTCTGAACCGCATCAGATATCTGAATATGTACCTAACAAGCCACCTACCTACCTACCCATCTATCTATGTATCTTTGTATCTTTGTATCTGGCCAGTTCATAGTTAAATGATTCTGTTCGCCGTTCAAATATTTGCGTTGAGCTTCAGTTCTCATGCGAACGTCGTGGCGGGCAAATGTGCGCAATCGAAGATCGAAAGGACCTTAAGATGGTGTCGAGACTTTTGTGCCTAACCTTACTGGCCATCCACCTGGCAGGTGCTGTGGTGCAGCATCGGTCTCTGGAGGAGGCTCGTCTAGAGCGTCAGAGATTGGTCCATAGGTATATTAAGGTCCTGAACAAGGAGGAGGGCGCCATACGGCTGGTGGGAGGAGATAATGAATATGAAGGTAAGGAGGGGTTAGCTTAAGCTGTTCCTACACAGAAAGAAAAGATACACTTGATGCCTCCAGGCAACATTGAAGTCCTTCACAATGGCAAATGGGGAGCAGTTTGCGATGATGAGTGGGACTCCGCCGAAGGTCACATCGTATGCCGGCAGCTGGGCTTCCCTGGGATGAGGAAGTACACTAGAAGTGGCTTCTTTGGACCTGCCCGCCGTCGCTTCTGGATGGATAACCTCTTCTGCGAAGGTCACGAACAGGAGTTGGTGAATTGCCATTTCGAAGGTTGGGGTGAGAATGACTGTGATCCTGGAGAGGCAGCAGGAGTGGTGTGTTATCCCCCAGAAAATGCAGTGATTCCTTCACCATTGCCCATCTTCAGAGATGAAGACTTACCCAAATTCCCTATCCGCTCTAGATCCCGTTTATATGTGAGATTAAGAGGTGGAAGATCCAGAATTGAGGGGCGAGTGGAGGTTAGTTTAGACGGCGGTCGATGGGGCAGTGTGTGTGCCGATGGCTGGTCACTTTTGGAGGCCAATGTTGTGTGTCGACAGCTGGGCCTGGGCTATGCCAGCGAGGCCTTCCAAACGGATTTCTTTGGTGGCTCCAATGTGTCGAGACCCGTGCTGAGTGGCAGCGAATGTTATGGCAACGAAACGGAACTGGCCGACTGCCTACATCACGATGCAAGTCAGGGCATCGTCAGCTGTCATGGCAATCGCCAGCATGTGGCCGCCGTGATCTGTGACTATATTGCCCCCGATCTGGTGGTGGACTATTTGGAAATCGAACAGACAGCCCATCTGGAGGATCGCCCTATGCTTCTGATGCAGTGTGCCATGGAGGAGAACTGTGTGGCCAATGAGGCATATCAAATCCAACGGGATGATCCACAATGGCGGTATCGATCGAGGCGATTGCTCAAGTTTACGGCAGCTGCCATCAATGCGGGCAATGCGGATTTCCGGCCATTTAAGGAGAAGAGCCAGTGGGAGTGGCACATGTGCCATATGTGAGTACACTTGAAGAAATAAATGACAGATACTTCATTTATATTTCTTACTTTACAGGCACTTTCACAGCATGGAGGTGTTTGCCACCTTTGACATCTTCGATACGAGAGGTCGTAAAGTGGCTCAAGGTCACAAGGCCTCTTTCTGCCTAGAAGACAGCAACTGCCTGCCTGGTGTGGCCAGGAAATACAGTTGCGCCAACTACGGAGATCAGGGTAAAGTTATTAAATATTAAAATAATTAATATTTCAGAGACTTAAGTTTGTTTTATTCTAGGAATTTCCGTCGACTGCTCGGATGTATATCTATACAATCTAGACTGCCAATGGGTGGATGTGACAGACCTCAGTCCCGGCTCTTATGTCCTCAAGATTGCTATTAACCCGGAATTTAAGGTGGCTGAGATGAACTACGATAACAATGCTGCCATCTGCGATCTGATATACACTAAAAACTTTGCCCGAGTGCAAAACTGCCAGCTGGGAAGACCTTAAAGAGTGGAAGGTTAGGCTTAAGTACTGGGTGAACTGGAAACCAAATCAAAAAGTGCCAAAAACTACGATTAACCAAAGGGAGCTTGTATATTTTCTATATATTTTCTTACCTTAAACCTTAACTCTTATGCGAAATAATTAAAAGTGCACAATCGGAAAAGCTCTTGGGCTGAACTTGAGAGTCAGTGGGGTGTGAAAATGTCACCGACATTGAGACACCAAGATTTTTGGAACCAACCAAGCATTTATCAAGTGTCGATAGCCTGGGGTATTGTGAAGGTGTTGAAGCGGAACTATAGGTGATATAAGTCAAGGTTAGATGAGGAAAATCTAAGTAGGGTTTGACTGGGAAATGTGAGGAAATCAGTTACTTTGAAGGGTACAAAAATTAAAATGGATTTCTGAGCAATTGCTTAGCCAAAAACTAACTTATAGACAGAACTAAAACATAACATTTGGTGGAAGATAAAAAATTTGTATAAAAAATCTGTAAATAAAGCTAAAAACATAAAAGAAACTCAAGAAAACCAATCTTTATTTGCACTTTAAAATATTTAAACCCCTAACATTAACCCCTATTTACCCTTCAATACACTTTCAACTATCTGAAAAGGCATTCGGTTATTGATTACTCAGCTCTTAGACAAAGCAGCTCCTCGGGAAGCAACTAACCCCAGTCATCAATATAGTTAACCCCTTTCGTTTCTCAGTCAAAAATGTAAATAGATTTTCCGTTAAAATAAGTTAAGAAGAAAGTATAACAAAAACAACAACAACAGCGCAAAAGAACAGCCAAAAGGACTTCTACTTAGGACTTTCCCTTAGATTGATTGATTGCCAAGCAGAAGAAGAGAGCTCTTAACTTGGAACATTGAATAACCCCAAAAATTTAATTAACATAAGCGGTTTATGCGGGTCTTGCGGAGAGCTGAGTAAAAACAAAAAGCTTTTAATTTGTATTTCGTTTGGAGATTAACAAATCAATCAAAGTGCGAACAAGGCAGATTTCCATCTCCGGAACCCCCAGAAAGAGGTGTTTGTCCGTTGGCTTAGAACTGGGCAATATCTTTAGTGGAAAGCATTCAACTATCATCAAATCAGTCAAAGTCCGGCCAGGGGAAGCAAAAAATAAATGATAACCGGGAGAAGCCAGTCAAGTGTTAGAGTTCCTCGTGCTATCAGACACGTGCTCACACACACACGACCCCTTACATATTACCCATCTAAGCCAGCCAAAAATCACCCAGCCACCCACGCAGATCTGAAAGACAGAGAGTGGGTGAGGAGGGGGGCAAACAAGCATATAAATAATTGAAATGTTCACTCACTGACCCCGCTATGAAACACTGAGAGATAAAATGGGAAAAACTTAATTAAAATTAAAATATCTACCTAAATATTATTTTTTTATTTTGTTGTTATTTTAAATTAAAAACTTTAGCTACTTAGATTCCCTTTCGTTTCGAATAAATATTTACTAAAGGATAATATTGTTATCGATAACACAAGTGCTAAAAATCGATATAAGTTTTTGGTTCATATTTAAAACAGAGTGATTTTTACTCATGTAAAATTTTTAATAAATCGATTTTTCTATATTATTTATCGATAACAATATCGATAACAATAATACTGACTTGAAGACCTTAAAAATGCATGTAAATAAAAATATATACATTTTTACTCAATTTTTACTCATTTATCGATGACAATATCGATAACAATATATATAATAATACTGACTTAAAGACCTTAAAAAATGCAACTAAATAAAATCATAGGGCCATACGCATAGCAACTATTCGTAATGATTCCCAATTTCTCACAGTGCACTCTCATCCACCTCTTTTTCCCCTGAGACTTACACTTTTGCGAAATTGCAGCACTTCTTTTGGGGTGGGTGGTGGCCGGCATCACCAGGGAGAGAGAGAGAGAAGGCGGTAGGTGGTGCCACTGCGGATGACCCTTAGTCGCAGGCATTAAGCAATCAAACGTTTGATTTTCATTTATCGTGTAATCAAGCGTAAAAATAGCTTCGTGACCAAAGTGACTCATCATCATCATCATCATCCTCTCATCCTGTCATGTGTGCACGTGTGTGTGTGAGGTCCTTTGGTGCCTTGCTCCTGCTGACCACTTATGGCTGGTGTTGATGACATTACGACCATTTGATTGCAGCCGACCAGCCATCCAACCATCCATCATCTGGGTAGAAAAATCTTCCAGTCCTGGCCTGGAAAAACCAGTCATGATAAGAGTTGCCAACTCTAAGCCAACTCTATATATGACACATTAATTGGGATCTCTCAATTGTGGGATTTTCACTCCAATGTTGCGAAGCAATCCCAGTGACGGCAATTAACCCATTAGTGCACACCCATTCTATTACCGAGCGTTATTTTTTTTTTCCTTTTGGCTTTCAACCTTTTCCGCTTCATTGGAATATTCAAAAAGCTGCGCATCGAATTAATTGTAATTAAAAATTAAAACGAATTTAACATTTTTAATTATGCAATTTGCTTTTCATAATAATTAAAACAAATGTTGCCGCCACCCCTCCCCCTCATTCCAAAACAAATGCCAATAAATGCGCACACAAATGAGCCAACAAAGCTCCCCTCTCTCTCTTTCTGCAGCCATCTACCCCTCTCTCTCTATCTATCTATTCGCGCCGTCAATGTGTCGCACCAACCATGAAAATGATAACAAGCCAAAATGTGCGCTGAAATTTCCCGTAGAAACGTTGGGAAAGGAAGGAAAATGGGTGTGGGAGTGGGGGTGGTGATGGTTTCGGCAGGGGGTTGCTATCATCAGTTTGGCACAAGGACATCCAAGTCTCGTGTGTGTGTGTGGTGGGAGAGGTAGGTTGCCTGGCGTCTAATGAGTTTATTCCCAATTAGCCGCATTTAAAATTCAAAATCTTTGCCAAAATGTCGGTGGCAAAACACAAACAACAAGCATATGGAATGTCGAAAGTGATACTATAAAAATGATAAATGAAAAACGATGAAAAACTGAATGTTTAAATTTATTTTGAATTTTATGCAGGTAAATACTATAAAAGCTTACAAATAATTATTACTATTGAATTGGGAAATGTTACCGATGCATTAATATCCCATCGATAATTCAGGAATCTGTTTTTAATACTTGTTTTTCATAAGAAATATTAAACGATCATTTTGTGAAAAATTACTTCAACTTCTTTAGTGAATCGATATGATATCGTTAAGAGAAGACTTTCTTATAGTATTTGTAAGTCTCTTGATTATACTTTTTGACTATTCCCCGATATCTAACACAACAGTCGTTATCAATATGAATTTTCTTTACTTAATTAGTGTAAGTGATATCAGCTGATAACGAAAAGAAAAGACTTAGTTTTCTACCTTTACTTATAAATGCCTCACCTGATAACTAAGTGAATAGTTATCGATATTAGTTTAAGTTTAAAGAAAACAATAAATGATGTATTTTTTAATAATTACTTCCCATATGTCAATGATGTGATATGACTTCATAAAGGGAAGACATTCCCGTGACTATACTTATACTTATAAATATATAACCGGTAAGTTAGGAAGGGTTATCGATGCTAGTTTTCTTTAAGAAACAATATATATCGTATTTTTATCATAAAGAAAAGGTATTCTTATTAAATTTCTGTATATACTAATTACACATAAACCTCATGTTAAAGCTCAAAATCAAATAAGCAATTAGAAACCAAATTAAGGTCACAGAAAAAGCAAGAAACCTAGTAATTCCCTTCACTCTTAAACCAATAATAAAAACAAAAAAACACCTCTCCAATCTAGACACATTACCATTAAACACCTCAGCTGCAAAACCACAAAACTTAAACTATTAAATGCGGTTGAAGTTGACGCTGTGGAATAAGTGTAAATTCCGGCCGCAAAGGACCAACTTAAACCAAATTTACACTCGTAGAAAATTGCTTTAAAAACTGTCATAAAACTGCAAATGGCAAAGGACGAACGAATGGCCGGGCCAAATGCAATATACAAATGCAATATGGAAGCGAATGTGTGTTCCTTAAACGCTGCACTTTGCCAACAACAATTTCATTTGTCGTCGCCAGTTGCAGAGCTCTGAATTCCTAAAGTCCGAGGACATCGATTCTCAATTGTTGTTGGTTGATGGCAGTGGTCCTGCCAGCTAGGACTTGGCCATATGTGTGTCACTTTGACCCACTGCACCCAACCACCCCCTTTGCTCACCATGGCCATGTCGTTTTAGTGAAATTGCACAAAATTGTTTTCCGTTTCGTTTCATTGGGTTCGGTTCGCTTCTTTCATTGGAAATGTGCATTTAAAATTTATTGCAGTCACAAGCACAAAATTAACTGCATATGGGGTAGGAGTGCTGACAATTGAAATAACAATTTGCTGGGAATGCAGTCGCCCAGGGAGAGTTGCCCAGGATTTCAATTGAATTTGCAGTTGGCCAACATTTTGTAAACATTTGCCTACCGACCATAGGAAATCCCAATGAAAACCAGGAGAAATCTTCTTCATTGTTGATGTCTGCAATTATCGTGTTTCGAAAATTCATATGAAAAAAGAGAGAGGATAAATCTGTATACCCTTCGTCACCATCATTAGCATTCCATCTAATTCATCTGGCTTAGTGTGTGTGAAAAATAAATGTGAAAATTTTCCTTCGTTTGACATGCCCTTATCAGAATCCTTTATCTCGACGCATTCGTAAGACTTTTCCGCCTTTGATTCCTTGCCGCTGGCAAGTTTCCTGCTCTGACTCTTGATTACACAGCAGAAACCCCTGACATCCGGACCACTTGACGTATACGTATTTAAGCTCACACCAAAGTCAAACGCATTGAAATGTGACTACCAGTCAGCAGTCACCAGTCACCATTCGCAGTCACAGTTCACTCCCACTCTCTGGCGGCGCGAAGGCAAACAACACCGCAGGGACCCATATATCAAAAATCAACAGCTGCGGAGATGAGGCAGAGTAAAAAATACAAAAAATATATATATATATCTATGGAGGGGCCCTACTCACATGTGACAAAAGATAAACACAAGAAGAAACATTCTAAAATCAACAAAAAAAATACAATTCTACAGGGCTTGCTCGGAAAAAACTTTCATGCTGGCGACATTTAAACATGGC